TATTAGCTTGTTACTTTAAATATTGTTATGTAAAACACAGAGGATGTGGTAATGTATGTGTTTTATATGTGTTTTACGCTCTGCACTTTGGTTGATGATTTCTAAGCTGTGCAGCGTTCATAAGTTGAAACAAAATATGTAGAGATGAATGTGATCAGCGTTTATAATTCTAAAAAAGAGTTGCATTAATAATTGAAAGAACAAACACCACAGCGTGTTTTTAACAAAAGGGAAATAGGTTATAACAGAAAGGAAAAGATAGTAAAGCATAATTAGAAAATTAAAAGCTCTGGTTGTTCAAGTTCTAGCAGCGTTCTCATTCCACGCGTGCCTTCTTCCGGGCTTTCTCACCAGGAGCTACTGCTTCTTTGGTCGATGCTGAACGGTCGGATAAAGAAGCATCAGATGTAGATGGCTCCTTATCAACTTGGCCATCTGCTAGTGGTGATACAACTACAAGTAGCACTTCTCTAAGGATCTTTGCACCTTCCTATTAATAATGTAACAAACAATGGCTTTATATATTGTAAGCACCAGAAATTTCAAGAAACTTGACATTATAAAGAACAAACAGGTACAACGAAGGCTGGTATTGGTGCAAGTTCGCGCTCAGGAAATATGCGAGAGATGGTGAAGGTCTGGTGCTCTGAGGTAAAACTGAAGTCGGTAAGTTTAAGCTGAAAGGTGTAGGTTTTCCCTACCAATCTCAGAAAGGGACTGAGGAAGTTCAGTATCAACTTGAGCATCAACAACAATCCCTACAGAGCATAAATTACAATTTATATATATCATTTATCAAAAGTAATAGCAATACTTAATAGGTAAGTGTGGATTTTAGACAATACCACAATTTGTGCATCTTTAAAAGCTTGAATGTTAGTTAGTTTAGGCATCTCCAAATCAAATCCGACGAAAGATGCAGTGTCAGTGTTGTCTGACACAGACATTGTCACCCGGTACCTATTCCAGACATAGGATTAACGTACAAATCTTTATAAATATATATCGACAAAGACAGAAATTTTATAATTCTTACATGAGTGATGCCACAGCATTAATTAGTCCCATTACATGAAACACAGGTGAAGGAAGAGATCTCTCGGAATACCAATCACTTTAGCAGTGCAAAGAAACTCAATTATCTGTCAATTATTTGAAAAAGTAGTCAAATTAGGAAAATAACCACAAATTGTCATCAACCTAGGTAAACCAGACTCTAACCTGGGAATCAGCAGTGATAATAAATTGATTAAGCTCTGAAACTGTAAGTGGTTCAATCTTCTGAGCATGAACAACCTTATATAATGACACTGTATGATCTGCTCCATGTCATGGCTAGCTGCAAGGGAATAAGCATGAAAGACATCCAAACAAAGAGGCAATCAAATTTCAATATATTCAAGGGAGACAAAGTTTCGGATCTCTAATTAGAAAGATAGGACTTACTTGTCAAATACTTCTTTTCACGCAACTGCCTCAGAGTCAAAATACAGATGTGTGCTAGAAGTGGCATTCATGAATAACCGGCCTGCCAAAACATTTGGGTCTAACTTAGTGAACGCCAGTTAAAAATAAACAGCTTAAAGCATGCATTTTTTGAAGGAACGTGTAAAGGAAACAAAAGTGAAAACATATAATCGCTTACCACCAACTATCTCAGGATTACGATTGTGGCAATCACTGCAAAGAAACGATGGCATATCATCAAATGGGGCATACGTTAGTATCTATGATAACAAATGAAGATCTATTATAACAAATGAAGATCTAAAATTAAAAACACCTTTACAGATGCAGAGTAAGCATCACACGTTGTGCCCACGGTATACGATCAGTGATGGTACTCCTGATTTCACTTAGCTAACAAATTATGTCTTTGGAATGAAGTAAAAGAGATACGTTAACACATGTTATCATAAAACTCAACTTTATTAGCAAAGATTAAGGATACATACCAAGGAGTTGTTTGCATGTGTTTGCAAGTTCAAGCAACTTAACTGTTTCAGCTTATCAAAGGAGGTTGCTGCGTGTTACATCAAATCCGCTCAAGCTGTATAGAGATCCCTCACTAAGAGGGTTCCTGACGATTCACACTAATGGTTCCCTGCATTAGGGTTGACTGTTGGAAAGGTAACAATCAAAACTTTAGATAATCGGAATGGTTGTAATCATCAACAGAATTAAGGTTAAAGAAACTTCTTACATTTTCATTAATCAGGAGCATGTCTAGACCGGCCAGTTCACCCCTTTTCTTCATATTCCTGGCCTCCCGTACCTCAGCAACCGAACGTGGGCAGAGTTGGACCAGATACCTTATTTCAAGTGAGCAAGAAGGATGAAAGAGTTTTCCATCGCAATAACAGAAAATCAGAGCAAAGTATTCGTTTAGATCTCCTAGAAGATTTGCTGTTCATGGCTGGGATGTGCTGGATATATTATTATAGTCGGACGATAAGACGCGTTACTGGAGATTCAATGAGTTTGATTAAAGGATGCAGAGTTAAAGAGTGTGTTAATTACACATAAAGTGGGAGCAAAGCAGAAATCAATGAGCCATTACGGAGAAGAAATCGTAAAGGCTATCGACGACAATAACATCTGAAACATTAGACCGCACACGGTTGAAGCTCCAAAGCAGATGAAGAACCCTAGTTCTAATTTCTAGGTCTAGAAAAAACGAATATCATATCAAATAACAAAACAAAAACGCGAGCCCAAACTAAATATGCAAAACGCTTCGTTTAGTAACTCGTGCCAGGTGTCAAAATTCCCCCCCAAGGAGGGATAAAAACCCAACTTTATTTATAAAGATTTTAGTGAATGGTCGGTCCTTGTGTAAGTGGATGAGTTAGCACTTGTTAAAAGTACATGAATATGTCCTTTCGCTGAACCAAAAAACAACAAGGTAAACTGCACTCAGTGACTAAAAAAACTATAACTTACTAAGTAACTAAAATTACATTTTCTCTCCTCTTTTTTTCTTTCTATCTCTCTTTATTTTTTCTCTATAAAATTGATTTTTTTTTAGTTATTTTTGACAATTAAACCTAAAAAATAATACCATAAAATCACATCCGAAATTTAAGACTAATCGTGTCATGTCCGTTTGTCAGTTTAAATTTATTTTCAAATTTATATCAACTATTTATTAACTTAAGTCGTTACTCAAAACAATTGTTGACTAAAAGAAATGTACCAGATATTTTGATTTTCAAAAGATTTTAAACAATTCTATTCAAAGTATCTTCAGTTACTGCAAATCTCGGTTTTAAAACGCAGCCACAGAGATCGTTTAGACACTGGAAAATCGTTGGATAGTATGGTTCCGGCGGGATACTCACATAATCGGTTGACAAATCTGAATTTTTTTTTAAAACTTATTTTATGTTCATTACAATCTTGTAATCGTGTGTGGTATATTAGATTTATATGATTAGAATGCAAAATATCAAAAGAATGTAACACGATGCTACAAAAATTGAAAAAAAGAGGCAACTAGATTAGGGTTGCTGAATCCACAGAGTTTGTTGAAGAAGATGACTGATCGAAGTCTAATTTACCCTTCATTAAAGTATAAATAATATAACAAACCCTAGCTAATATTCGAACTCTCGTTTTTTTTGCCAAGGAACAGCAAGTCAAACCATCATACTACGGTATGTATCTTTAAAACTAATGCAAACTAAACGTAAATATTTATAAAATATGTATAATAGTTCTAAAACTAATCGCCATTTATTCTCTGATTAATTAAATCGGCGCTAAGTCCAACCCGATCGTCCGACTAACGTCTAGCGCGTTTCCGAACAGGAGTGCAAATATACATATAATTAAATTGCCAAAAAATTACTTCGAGCAAATATCATGATTTTTCTTTTGTTAAACAGATAAAAATCATAACATAGTAGTATCTGACCAGATATTCTAAAGTTAAATCTGGATTCTTGTACTACAGCGATATCAGATCTTATTTTCAGTCAAGTTTTTTTATATTCTCTATATCTTTAGATTTATAAATGATTCCTATCCACAGTGTTCTTCATGGGAGCTTGCCTCTTAAATCGAAAGTGGATAATATAATACTAATCGAATAGTGGAGAGTTGAATATAGATTTTTACAATCTCAATAATTGATATCATAACAGTTTGACGAAAAATCTATAAAAAGACCAAAATATTTGTAAAAATATGAATGGAACCCTTTGAGTTATGAATGGAAGGTATGTGTGGCAGAGATTAAGTGAAAAGATCCTGGGAATTAGTTGTGGGACACAAGATCAATATAATCCATAGTTTAACGAGGAGAATGTAAGATATCAAACAAAATCTCACATTAGAAGACTATACAAAGAATGTCACTGTATAAAAAAAAATTCAATTTTAGTTAATACGAGATATCTTGGAAAGAAATCCAAAAATAAATCCATGTTGATTTATTTATTAAATTCAAAATAGACAATATTGTACTAATCGAACAATAAAAAAATTTGGACATAAGCTATCAAAATCCCCACATATCAAACCGTTTTGAGTGACGAGGTAGAAAAGATGATGAGCAAGCTCTTGAGGTTTTTGAGAGAATAGTGGCCTCCCCCCTGATTCCTCGCGGCCACCTGAAGCACGCCACATCGCATGCCAGGCCAACAAAGATTTGACTTCAGACATTTCATTGACTTCTGTTGTTCCAACCATTTCTTGCTTTTCTTTTAATCTTTTTGTCTCAACTTAAAACATGTCCTATGCTGCACAACACACTTGGCAATATGAACTCATGAGAATAGCAAATTAGCAACCAAATTTGTAATGGATAAAATTACATCCATCTATCAGTCGGTCGGATTCTTTGAGCTTTCTCATCGTGCTCTGAACTTAGAAACTGCCACGTATGTCATTGTCACGTCAGTAGCAACTGTCATAATCTCATAACGTTGGTCCCACACACCGTGTTCCTCTCTTTATACTTCGATCACTCCACACACTACAGTCCATAACAGAAAGAAATGAGCCAACAAGAGCAGCCAAAGAGGCCACAAGAGCCGATCAAATACGGCGACGTTTTCGATGTGTCCGGTGAACTTGCCGATAGGCCCATAGCGCCTGAGGATGCTAGGTTGATGCAAGCCAAGGAGACAAGTGTCTTGGGACACACTCAAAAAGGCGGTATAGCAGCCACTATGCAGTCTGCAGCCACGGCCAACAGACGCGGTGGCTTCGTCGAACCAGGTGTCGCAACCTTCCTCGACCCCGACCGAGGCGTCTCTGTGGAGCAAACTGATGTCCCTGGTGCACGTGTCACCAAAGAATCCATCGGTGTTCAGGTTACAAGTCATTTCCAAAATAATTTTTTTCCTCCAAATATATACATCGTTACAAAAAGATGGTGTATGGTTAGGACGTTACCATTGGACAATATGTTGAGCCTAGGCCAGTGGCGACTTCGGCAACAGGGATGAGTGTGCAAAGTAAGATAACAATAGGACAAGCATTAGAAGCAACTGTACACTCCGCTGGAAAGAAGCCCGTGGATCAGAGCGATGCAGCAGCAGTTCAAGCGGCGGAAGTTAGAGCTTCTAGCAATAACGTCATTGCTCCTGGTGGAGTGGCTGCTTCAGCGCAATCCGCAGCTGATTACAACGCTGCTATCGAGCGTGACGAGAACAAAATCAAGCTCGTTGATGTTTTGGCGGTTAAGCCCTAGTTTCAATCACATTTTCAGTCTCTTATTTTTTTCTTTAGATGGTGTCTAAATGTTTCGAACCGGATTTTAGGGTGCGGCGGGGAAGTTACAGGAGGATAAAGCCGTGACGAAGCAGGACGCAGAGGGTGTGGTGAGCGCTGAGCTGAGGAACAACCCTACCATGTCTACTTATCCAGGTGGTGTGGCGGATTCTGTTACTGCCGCGGCTAGGCTTAACGAGAAAGCGAATATATGACCAATCCAGCTAGAGGATGATGGTTATTATAAAGCAGGGGAAATTGTGATGTAAAATAGTCTATGTTAGTATAAAGATAATGTTACGTTGCAAAAGATGTTTGACTTTTCATCTTGAATATAAGATAAGGTTTTGGCTCTGCAACTCTAACTTTAAGAACGAAGATAGTGATGATGCTTAAGGGGGAATCACAACACAAACTGATCTATAAATGGGCAATCGTCCAGTCTAATAAAAAAAAAGATGCAACGTAAAACGATAGAAGAAGAGTGTTACTGGCTTGTACTAGCAGCTCCAACAAGAACACCTTGAGCGTTGCCTTCCTTTTTGTTATTACCTTCTTCCTTGGAATCTTCCTGTTTCCTAAGCCTGATCTTATACTTAGCTTCAAACTCTGTCATATCTTTCTTCTTCTTCTCCAACGTCTCGTACAGCTTCTTGACAACCTCTTCGAGCCCTTCCTTGTTGCGGTGGACAGCAGGGAGTACCTCTTTGATGGTTCTCTCGACCAGAACGCCTCCGATCATTCGGAAGCATTTCCTAGTTTGGTCGAGAGGCTGAATGGCGTTGACGACGAGTGAGTGTTCGCTCACTTGCATCTCGAGGTCGGTTATGTTGGAATAGATTTGGCTCATCTCTGATCTCATGGATTCGTAGATGTTTAGAATAGCTTGCTCACTCGGCGGTTCTCTCAAGCTCGTCATTGCTAGTTCTCGTGTCCTAAGAATGAATCAAAATCAATCAAAACGCAGCTGTAAGAAATCAAACCAACATTGAAAGAAACATATGCATCCGATGTACTGAAATATTGTTACAAAAAGAGTTTCAAGCAAATGGGAAAGTGTTATAAATGCAAAACATGGTGAAGCATAAGGTCACCATCTTGTCGGATCAGTACAAGAACAAAGAAGCATGTCTTTTATGAAGTAAATACTAGTGCATCTGCATCTAACCAAATTATATACGACATATTCACGATAGTCCATGGTATCAGTCTCATCATAGCAGAAGACACCAACATGGACAGATACATATATTCTATCGAATTTAGGGTTTCAATGTCACTGATTTCAACTCGAGGCGAAGCGCTATCTAGGTGTTTTTTTCGACTATAATTTAAGTTAATATTCTGAAATTGGAAGGGAGGACACTGACGAAGCTTGATTTGGAATTATTCCGACAAATCTAGAACTAGAGATCCTGATTTTACTTTTGAGATCGATATCAGACACAAAGCTTGTGGACACTTGGTTGATAGAAATAAGAAAACAGGAAACTTACTTTTAGAAACACGAGGAAGATCGTAGAAGCTTTGTTTGGGGGAAGAAAAGATGTAGAGGGAGATGGATTTTGAGAGAGACCGAACGCGGCGCCGAGAGTGAGGTATACCAAGGCAAAGTTGGGTTTAACAACATAAAATTGATCCGGTTTTAAGACACATTGAACCGGTTTTAGATATTATGATTATCCAACCGAATTTTCCCCAAAGTCCCAAACCCCACATCTATCTAGCGCTTCGGATGGTACCTAAGGTAGACCGACCAGAAATAGAGTTGATGGAGTTATTAACGAATCATGATCTGGTGGACATTTATATCACAAAAACCTTGAACTTCAAAAACTAACATGTTGAACAAGTAAAAAGAATGATATTTTAATTTTTTTTTTTTAAAAGCAATCTTGTAGTTTTTATGTAATTTTTCAGTTAAAATAAACATATCATCGTTGAGAAGAAAAGTTTCAAACATAGCACTATTGACGTTGATGGTCTCAAATAGTTAAAAACATATCTTGTAATTTTAAAAAATATTATTTTACTTTTGAATTTTCAATTTTTGTGAATTTTGTTTAATTTTCTTTTAATTTTCTGAATTTTCTTTAATTTTTAAAATTTTAATTTAATCTTTTAAAATTTTTATTTATGTTCTGAATTTTGTTTTAAATTTTTGAAAATTTAATTTAGTTTTAAATTTTTGATATTTTTTATTATTTATTAAATTTCTGATTTTTATTTATTTTTTGGCAAAAATATGATAAGTTACCATTGTTACCTATTCAGCATGTCAGATTTTTAAGTTCAAGATTTTTTGTGATACAAATGTCACTTTGAAAGTTTAAAGTGTTAATGAAAAATTTTCAATATTTAAAGTGAAAATAACTGTCAGTTTCAAGGTTTTTATACGATTTTCCTGTATTAATATGACAAATCATTAAGTGGTGGAGATAATTCGATTGATGAAGAAAGGGGAATAAGAACAAATTTATGAGTATTTTTTTTAATACGTTACACATCATATAATTTAGAACTCTATTACATATAGTGATTAACTACCTACAACATATACGATATTGATGAACATTTCTACAAATAATAGTTCCATGATGAAGCTCTCCTCGAAATACGTAGATCAGACAGACGACCACAACAAACAGCTCTAACTACAGTACTCTATAATCTCTGAAAGTTTATATCCTATAATTAATCTACAAAAAAAATTGCATAATCTGGCATGAGTTGACCATAAACCTGATGTAAAAACTTTTGAATTTTAATCAGTCGACTAAGGTACTTCCACATGCGTGTGAATTTTGAAAGGCAACAAAAAATAATATATATTATACACATAATATTCTAGGCATTACTTTCATGTGGGTAGTTTCATAATTATAGATATCGTATGGTTATGCCACTTAATTTCTGTAATGCGTAATTTTGATCGAGTGTAGTCGGCGTTGCATTCAGAGTTGGAAGCACTGCGGTGGGCAATGGAGAATATGCTTCAACATCCGCCATGTCAGAGCTTTTGGAACTGATTGGAAGGAGATGATCGAGATGCTCAGGAGTCCTCATGCCTGGCCTAACTTCTCAACAGAGCTGGAGAAACTGGAGACGCTGAAGATCTGCTTTCCTGACTTCAATATTTTTTATGTTCCTAGATTACAGTACGGTGTTTCTGATTCTCTAGCTAAGACAGCTAGGTCTTTTTACCGTAAGCTTGTGTACGTTGGTTGTTCTATTCCGGTCTGGATTCCCAGACAACCTCAAGTAGCTTGAGTAATAGATCAGCCGTTTGATGTAAAAAAAAAACAATTCTGTAATGCAAATCATGGCTTCGAATAGTAATATTAAAAATACAAATTACAAAAAAAATGTAATAAAATAAATGAAAATCTAACTGGTTAAATTACTTTGACGAATTATTATATTTGATCAACTGTTGTTAAAATATAAAATTTTATGTTCTACATCTAAAACAAAAATGTAAACTCTTATATATAAATAAAAATTCTTATATACAAACAATATTAATATTGTATTAAGTATAATGAAAATTAAATTATTATAAAATGTAAATACAGTTACAACATATAATCAAATTGGTTTTTTTTTTCAATGAAGTGTTTTTGTTTGCGCTTAATGTATTTGCAACAATTTCTCTAATGTTTTATATTAATTTTCCTTGTCCAATTTCTTCTTCTACCATATTGTTTTGTTCAACCATAGAATTATTGCAAGTATCTCAATATGTCATTCTATTAGTAAAATCTTCAACGGATTTTTTTTTTGAAAATTTAATAAACTCATGCAATTTTTACCTTTTGAAAATACATATCATATCCCAGAATATCACTAAGAAAACTATATTTCTTCTCGAAAACTCAAAATTTCTCTTAGTAATATAACATAGGGATGCATGATATTGAATAAACATTTTTTATTTGTTTCTAGAAGAACTACTTCTGAAATGTGGCATATGATACCTAACAATCACATTTCTTAAAGACATATAAAACCAAACGCCTTGTTTATTTAGATAGTCAGAGTCAGCTAGATAATAATTATCAAGTGGAGATAAAGGAAAATCAGAAGCATTATCTTGCACCATTATGAGAACTGATATATCGTGACATGAACATGTATGTCAAGAACATATTCATATCATATATTAGCATTTTATTAAACTGAATATTGTGATGATTTTAATACATTTCTTGTATTTCAGGCTTCATTTTAATGCAAACATGAGATTCATCAAGGGTTCTAACAAAACCACTTAGATAAGGTTAATATATCCCATCCATCACTACTCTATGGAATCCGTCTTAGTTATTGTGTTGTTGGAGTCCTTAATTGTATAGTCATAAGCAAGCAATTCAGTTGCTCAAAGAACTTCAAAATTTTTTGATTCAATATCTTTTGCATTTGTCAAAATTGTAGTCCACAATCTTTATGAAATTTGTTATGCCCATATATCCTTAGAAACATAGTCACACTCTTTAAATATTTACATTTAATGTTGGTTGTAAACGATAACTTTTTTTTGTAATTTATCGTACAATGTGCGAAAACAGCAAAGAACATTTGTAATAGCTGAAAACAAGAAACAATATCTAATCGATCTCATATATTTATCCATCCCAAACCACCAATAGTTTGGTTTAGTCCTCTACCATGTGATTACAACTGACATACGAAATGTATGAAAATTTATAAATATGAGAAGATTTAAATGAAATTTTTAAGAACTCAGTAAATATTTGATGAGTACCTCATTCCCCCTTTCGTTAAAAATTTGAGTGTACATCCATTTATTCCATGATGAAGTATGTCCTGTAGGAATCCAAAACATTTATGTCTTTATCCTCCCAAACTTTCGGCAATCCCACATATGTCCCCATTCCTCCCAAAGTTTGGATCCCTTAAAAAATATATAATTTTTTATCTGAGCCGTTTCTCAATGTTATGGCTAAATTGGATATAAGATTTTGAAAAGTTTATTTGTTGACCAGACATAAGCTCATTGTATTTTGTTAGTTGCAGTATGGTTTGACATTCCTCCCTTTGCACCTTACAAAATAAGAGGATATCATCTGTAAATAGAAGGTGAGAAGCAAATGGGCATGCTCTTGCCACTTTATGTCCTATTAATGGTTTCCTTCTCTCTATGCTTTCCAAATATTGGCAGGCAGTGCCTCTGTACAATAATAAATAAGTATTAGATAGTGGATATCATTTTTTTAAGGCCATCATAATACTCTGATAACTCAATAATACTTTGTATTGCACCGATGTGATGAGCTATGTCATCAAATGCATCCCCATGAGGAAAAAAACCCAACTTATGTAGCAAGGGGAAGATAATAGTCTACTCAACTCTATCATTGGTCTTGCTCTTATCCGTCTTTATTGCAATAAACTTATTTTCACGTGATTTATTTGTCTTCAGTCTATGAAACATTTCTTAAGTTATCAGAGTATTATCTGAAACAATCGACATGCCACAAAAGTGCACTAGATCCCTGAATTTAAATTTGGTAAACAGTTGTTTAGCCTTTGCAACAAAACCTTCGCATAGTCTTGTATCCCACACGGTAAAGATTTATTGGTATTGGTATCAGCTTCGTCATCCTTGTGGCTCTCTCTGTTTTAGGTATCAAGAAAATATTAGTTGTATTCAACCTTATCCTTACAAATTTGTTCACTAACTCAAGTATGTTTGTCTTATTACAGTGAGTGTAGAAAAGCCATCTCATCTGATCATGTTATATGGATAATAAAGTATCTTGTAATATGGATATTGATATTGATCCTAGAGATTTCCTTCCAAATATCGTACGTTTGGAATGAAAGAATAATATGGATACTGATTCTAGTGACACCCTTAAGTCAACAGAAATAGAAGCATTACTTTGGGCAGAGGCCCGTGTTTCAGTTACACAAAGGGTTGTTCAAAATAAGGAGGGAGAGACTACTACTTTACCTTTCATACCGGGAAGATGGTGCCTCACGGATAGGTCATGGAAAGACCATGAATGGCATTCATGGCAGGCTGGTATAGTACACTAGAAGACTTTGATGGATTGATGAGGGCGGGCAACACAAGAGCCAGTTTGTCACCACTTCATTCTGAAATAAAATATTTCATTTGGGCATTGAAATGTATGAAGAATACATCAATTTCATGTCACATTTGTAACGGATTATCCTCCATTAGTGAAGATGGTTTCAGAATCCAAAGAATTACCAGCTTTTACAAGTTATTTGGAATATATCAAGATCCTTAAGAAATTCACAACTCAGAAATCATTTATATACCCTGGACGAAAAATTGAAGGGCAGACAATCTCGCACGCAATGTAAGAAAACAACCACCATTTGTCCTTCACATGGATACATATTTACTAGTTTTGTTTGCATAGTCTTCAATGAGTCTGTTTATGTTGATGACAAAAAAAAATCATATCTAGCTTATAGTATTAATTTCAATATTTTATAAAATACTAATTAATTGTTTTACTAATAAAAATGGTAAAATTTGATGATATATTTTTTTTATATATATTTTTTTTTGCATAGTCTTCAATAAGTCTGTTTATGTTGATGACAAAAAAAATCATATCTAGCTTATAGTATTAATTTCAATATTTTATAAAATACTAATTAGCTTTTTTTACTAATAAAAATGGTAAAATTTGATGATATTTTTTTTATAATATAACGTAAATGATAATTTAGTGATTTATTAATTGAAATATAATTAATTATGTAAACAGAATTTTAAAATATATATAATACAATATATTTGTATTTAGTTGCAAATTTGAATCAACTAATAATAAAAGTTGAACTATATTAGTAAATGAAATATAATAAAATATATATTTTAAAGATTTGTTGTGATGAATAGTGTTATACTAAATTTGGTGTAATAATCTTCACATTAAAACAAATTTGGTGGGATAATATCAATTTTAAATATACTATTGAAAATGAAATTACATCAAATTTAGTGTTTTGCTTAAGTGTTGAAAATAACTTTATAATTTATCCACAAAACTAATTGGTAGGGTTTTTATAATTAAATTGCACCATGTTTTTTTGTGATATGCCTTGTCAGTTAATCTGCTTGGTTTCAGATGTGTATTTTTTGGTGCTACCGGGTAAATTGAATAGAGATAACTGGCTGGTGCATCTTAAATCTCCCCTCTAATTGGTGTATTACACACAATTTGACATTAACAAAATAATGACCATTTTGACCCTACTACTCCCACTCTCTCTCGTGACATACTCTCTTTCCTGACACTTTTCTCATAGCCATAAAAATGGTAATCTCTCTTTCTCTTTCCTTTGATTCCATTTCTTTTTCACCCTCAAACTCTCTCATAATCTCTTTTATTTTTTTATCATTCTCTCTTCTACTTTTTTTGTTTGTTTTTTCCCTTGATGAAATATTTTTTATCTTTGGGTTTTCAAATTATTATTTTCTATATATACTATTTCGTACTTAATCATTATTTTTTTGTCCATTATTAATATTTTATGTATCAATTAAATAATTTTTTAAATGTTAACATCGGTGTTAGCTGCTAACAATACATGTACCAAATGTATTAACGGATGCATTAACTGTTAACAAATTTTGTAAATGTTAACAGATGTGTTACATGTTAACAAATACATGTACTATAAGTGTTAATAGAGGTGTTAGTTGTTAACAAATTTGTAGATGTCAATACATAAGTTAGGTATTATATGCAATGTTCAAAAAATCGGTCTGGGCGCCGACTAGGCGTCCGCCTAGGTGGCAAATCCCCTCTTACCGAAACGATTTTCTTAAAATCCGATTTATACAATTCAAGTCAGTTTAAACCATGTTAGATCGGTTTAAATTGCTCTAAAACAGTTATAATTAATTTAAATTAGTATAATTTTTTTAAATTAAGTAACAATTTAGGAAATAATAACAAATTTGTGTAATTTATTTTATTTTGTATATCGGATTTGATAATTTATTAAAATAAAATTATAATTAAACCAAAAAACTTAAATCGCTTATATAAATGTAAAATATATATAAAATAAATCAATAATTCATTAACGCTTAATTTCCGCCTAGGCCCCGAATAATCCGCCTAGGCGCTAGTCCTCTATAGAACGCCTAGTTTCCGCCTAGAGATTTTTAGAACATTGATTATATGTTAACAAATAAATATTGTTGAAGTTTCATTCCTCTATCAAAATGAGTAAATTTAAAAATCAATGATATATTATGAAGAAAAAGAGAGAATGAAGTGTTTTTACGGATTGAAATTGTAGAAGAAAAGAGAACTTAGAAAACAAAATTTATAACAATTAAAGAGTGGTAATAAAAAGAAAGAGTGTGTCATTAGGAGAGATAAAATTGCAGAGGAGGAAAATAGAGTGTTAGAAAAGAAAGAGAATATCATATGAGGAAAGAAAATGTCTGGAGGAAAAGAGAACGTCAGAAAATTATTAAAATCCAGCCTAAGGTAAAATTGTAAGACAAATTGCATTTATGTTAAATCATTGTTACTTATCTAATATCAACTCCAAATATGGATATTTGGATAATTCTCCCAATTGAATATCACACTGCTTAATTCTTGAATTTTGAATACATTTCAATTAATATCAAAAATAACCAGATCATCTTGTTATTGAATTACCATGTATATTGTATGGACCAAGATTAAACCCGAATTAACCAAATAGCAGCAATTTTGTTCCAACCAAAAGTCAAACCTAAAACAAATAATTTTAGACTATACCTCAACTTTTTTACCACTATGCGGGTATGACTGATAAATATGAGAAGAACTTGGAGTAAATTAAATGAAGAGAAACAGAGTAAATATATCAGCGTAACTGAGAGAAAAAGATTATATAAATAAATGAAAAACAAAAAACAAAATTAAATTCAGCCAGTTTTACGTGTATTTCCAATGAGACAACAAAGAGGTATGTTTACCTTTATCAGAACCGTACATAGCGTAAAAATGATAAAATGTGTTTTCACCTGACTGGTACATTACAAGCTGAACCGAGAGTAAAAACCTTTTTCACCAAAAAATTTAACGCTCCTAGAGCTATACAATCACACTCCGCTACTACTAAGATGAAACATGCTTTGGTCAAGGTAATGTTAAATTAGTATATTTTTTTGTTCCTTAACCTATTTTAATAAATCAACTTTAAAAAGCACGTTTGGCATAGGGATTTACAGAATCTAATCACATGTTATGATGGTGTACAGCTAATGTAACTTTTAATTTATTATTAGGAACCTTGCTACTATCAAGATCACTTTATTTCTATTAGATATAAATTCTCGTGGTGATACGCCTATAAAATTTAAATTTAATAAATGCATTATAATAATATGTATGTTTAGATAGTTATCAAACTGTGTAAATAAAGTAATGAATATTTTTAAAATATATACTTCGTAAAAAGTAATTAAATAACCTTAGATAATCAATTAAATGGATTTAGATTATGTGAAATATTGAAATATAACCCTCCAATGAAAATTTTAATGTAATGTTTTTAAATTTTATATTAAGTGAAAATCATTTTAAAATAAAGTATTTAAACAAATCCTGAAAAGATTAGGTTTTAATTATAAACCTTCTTAATGAATATATTTATTTCATCAATGTACATCATCAGAACAATACAATTACTAAATATATTAATTACTTCAGTCCATAATGTTATCTCTATTTCCACTATATTCTAAATATCTTGTTGGTTTCCTTTTTAAAAAAAATTCTTTCTAATTTTTTTCAAATATTCCACACGATTCACACAATTCATGTTTTAGAAAATCGAAGACAGTGGGAAAACTTCAGGGTTAGACATAATCTTTGATAAGGCCCACGTTTGAATCACTGGTGGTCAGTGGAATAGTATGTGGTTTGTCGATTTCTCCACTACTCCAGGAATTCCAGATGTTTATCTATTATATGTTACATGACCGTAAATATTTTGTCACTAAGTTCCCGACGTATTGGAGATCCTTCAGCTTCCAAATAAAGACCAAACGAAGTTTTGTATCTGGTCCTAAAACCTCATGCTTGTTCTTGTATCTGATATAATTTGGTTTTCTATAACTTGATTTCAATGTATGTTTTTCATGTACCGTAAAGTGCCATCCATATGTATCCGGTTTAGAAGAAAGACTTACAACCATACTTTTAATAATATATATCATCTATGCATTAAGCAAATTCTTATTCAAAGAAACATCCACCGAGTTAATCAGATTTTCCACAGTTAGTAACTGGTTTAAGAATGGATTTTGACGTTTTGGTAATGTTGGTCTCGAACGAGGAGCAAAATCAGATGATAATTACATACTGAGATAAATTGCCTTCATGCCATGTATCCACTTTTTTAGTTAGCCTTTTTAACTAGAGATAGAGATGAAGTTAGATTATTCCAACCATACTGAGATAATTTTTTATTTGTTAACATGTTACTAACTTTTCAAATATGATTCCTGTAAAATTCAAGAATATATATAAGTATACTTAGTAGACGTAGAATCTACTCTTCGCTAGTTAATGCTAGTGAGTAATTTTATAAACGAACTATTAAATCTACTTTTCTTTTCTTTTTTGAAAAAGAGGTTCATCTACTTATTCTGACTCTAAAAATATATGGACACAAGGTCAAACAAAAAAACAAAACAACAAAAATAAGAGAAACTCCGCGTGGAAAATGTTATAAAATATATTAAAAATCAGTTATCAACGGTAAAATAAAGCTATATGTATACATGCAAGGCATTAATTCGTCAAAAGTCACACTCAGTTCAAACTCTAGAAAGAAAATATTTAACAATGGCTTATTCTTTTTCTTCAAACAAGCCTGTGTTCTTCTTGGCTTTCCTTCTCTTGTTCGTATTCTCAAACAATCTAGTGGCTGGAGAAACCCGGAAAGTTAAACTCAATCTTTACTACGAATCACTTTGTCCATACAGTCAGAAATTCATAAACGATGGTCTAGTGAAACTCTTTGAGTCCGATCTCCACAGAATCACCGATCTCAAGCTCGTTCCATTCGGTAACGCAAAAGTCTCCGATAACCTGACTGTCACTTGCCAGGTTCTTTTCAATTTGTTAATAGGAGTTTCTTTCACTTTATTTGACCATTTTTTGCCCAACAAAAATGTTTAAGAAGATCATTACCATATTTTTCAATCTTTTTTAAAGGTTATACGTTCTCCTCTTTCTTGTTTATACACTAACCAATCTCTGTTAATAGAAAAATACTTAATCTATCTTATTTCATAGATCGGTTTAACCACTTGTATGTTTATTCTATGCTGTTTTGATTAATTATTTAAAATTTTGTGAAGCATGGTGAAGAGGAATGTAAACTAAACGCCATTGGAGCTTGCGCCATAAGAACTTGGCCCAATCCGGTACATAACAAATAAATCCTCCAATATCTACTACCTTACAATAAATTTGAGGCAAATGATATCTGAATTTGAAAATGGGATGATTTTTGGCACGCAGAAAATGCACTACTGGTTTATAAGGTGCGTTGAAAAGGACACAAAAAACTGGGAATCATCATGTTTTAAGACATATGGTGGTGAGAAAGCCATAAGAGATTGTTACTCCGGTGATCTCTCTAAAAAAGTAAGTATGCATATAACAATCATAACTAGAGTTTGACTCACACACCCGTGCGGGTATTATTCTTACAGTTATATATATATCAATATTTTTCTATAGTTTGTGGTAGAGTATATCTTTTTTTGCATTTATCTGTATTAAATATTTGCTTAATATAACATTTATATAGGGCTGGACAAAAAATTTAAATTCGAAGAACCGAACCAAATTTGATCCGAAAAAGTAGTACTAAACCTAACCGAAATCGATTAAATATCCGAATGGATTCAAAATTTTGGTATTTAGAGAACCGAACTCGACCCGAATCAAAGTATTATGGGTACCCGAATGTATCAGAAATAGATTTATATACATGGATATATTAATTATTTTTAGATTAAATATAAATTAAAACATCCAAAATATATAAGATATATTTAAATTATCCAAAATACTTAAAAATATATATCAATAGTCAAAATTAAATGTCTAAAATAGCTAAAGTATACTCAAACCACTGAAAATACTTAAAATATCTGTTATTCAAATTTATATATTAATTTTAGATATTTTAACATATGTTATTCAAATTTATATGAAATATATTATTTGTTTATAGATTTTGCGAAATTTAAAGTGTATAATAAATTTTAAAAATTTTAAAATAATTTAAATGAGTTATCCGGACACAAGCCGAACCCGCAAAGATCCGAACCAAACTCCAACCAAAATTTATAAATATCTGAACGGGACTGAAATCTTTGATCCCGAAAACCCGAAACCTAAATAGACTCGCATCAAACCCGAGTGGGTTGATTTATACACCAAAGTTTTTCTTTATATGAGTAAATTTTATTTGTTTATCTAACTGTCAATTAGATTAATAATTTTATTTATTTATCTTACTATCGCATTGACATATAGATTTAGTTATATAAACTATGCATTAAATAACATAATTAAATACCATTTTATTTAATATATTTTTATAACTGATTATTTACATGGGTTTGTAAATTTTTTATTTATTAGTAATAAATATTAAGGAATAGACTATAATATTATAAAGAATATTTTGTTGAACAATTCGGATATAAAGAATATCGAGAATTGCGATATATAGGTAGACAAAACCAATATGCTTAATATAATATGGTAATGTCTTATTAAAATGTTTAATGAGGTACCAAAAAATAAGGCATGTTATATTTAACGGAATGTGTATAATAATTATTATTAAGCCTTAGGATTTGTTTTAATGTCAGTGGCAATCCCTTGTAAATATTTAGGAAAAATTAGGGTTAAGTTTTAATTGTACTTTTGTTTTAATAGATTAGATATACGCACATATTATCTGTATCATTGTCATATAAACCCTATACTTTATTTCAGCTTATACTTTCTTTTTTGGTATGAATTTCAGCTTATACTTGGTTATGCAAAGCAGACTTTGAATTTGAAGCCGAAGAAAAAATATGTCCCATGGGTCACAGTGAACGGCAAACCACTCTATGAAGTATAACACTTGTTTTCCTTAAGAAAACTTGAAACTCATTTATTTAGATTTTTGAATAATCGATTAAATACATGTTGCTTGTTTTTGTTTCTGGGATTGCAGAACTATGATGATTTTGTGGCCCAAATATGCAAAGCGTACCAAGGAAAGGCTCCTCTCCCAAAAATCTGCAATTCTTCTGCCTCGGCAAAGAAGAAAGAGTTGAAGCTTCAAGTCTCATATGCCGATGAAGCTTTCCATTACTGAATAGTAATTCTTGAACTAGGATGATTTAAGCTTATGTTATAAACGGAGTGATTAATAAAAGGAAATTTGCAACACCCGTCCCCGTGATCCACACAACAACCTCAACAATAGTCATTCCAAAGGGAACATTCTAATAATTTCTTACAAAATTATCTACTCTATTAAAATAGAATCATTGTTTTTATCTACTATACAAAAGTCATAGTAGATCTATTTCATTAGTTACATAATATGACATAATATTCAATAAGAATATTAATAATAAATCAGTTTTAAACATAAATTTAAATTTTATTTTTAGTTATAGCAAAATCTGTTAAGAAACAATCTAACACAATCCTACTAAAATTTTAAAACTTGTTTGTTATATAAAGCATTAATTAATTTCGTAATTTATAATATAATATTATTTTAAATTAATATAAATTAAGAATTATAAAAAAACATATTATATTTTTAAAATTTTTCTTATAGTATATATTATTTTAAATAGAAGTATTATATCAATTATATATGACGAAATAATATTAAATTAGTAAATTATCCAATTTATTTTTAAAAGTAATTTCTTTTAAAGAAATTATTATCTACAATTAAAACGGGTTAATTTTTTTTAACTATGTAATATTATTATAAGAAAGAAAGTTATTAACATATGTTAAACTTTTGATTCTACAACTGTATATTTTCGAAAAATATAATAAAACTAAGAGTTTTTTTCTGATTATTTCTGATTATTAAAAAATATTTATATATATTCTACTTTTATAAGTTTTGTTATAGTCTATATTATATTAAAATAAAATTATTATACAAAAAAAATATGATAAATTATATTAAACTGATAAAGTAACCTATTTATTTTAAAAAAAATACTTTCAATTATATAAATTATTATCTACATTAAAACGGGTTAAAGTTTGTTAACCATGTAATATTCTTATACAAAAATAAAGTTATAAATATATGCTAAACTTTTTTATTCTACAACAATATATTTTCCAAAAAGGATATTATAAAAGGGATTAATTATGTGATTATTTCAGATTATAGATTTAATGTACTAAACTCAAAAATGTAATAACAGTTAATAAAAAAGTAAAATATATAAAAATCATAATATATTAATAATGTATTAAGAAAACTAAGCATAGAACTAAAGAGTTACATAATATATAACACTAAATAGAAATTATATATCTAAAATATTTATGATAATAAAAAAAAAAAATATTTATAAAATACAAAATAGATCCGCACGAATGTACGGGTTAATTTCTTGTCTCACTTAAAAATCAAAGCTGAACCAAAACCTTAACGAAAACTTAAAAAAATCTCGCAACTCCCCAGAAGGCCGGCATCACACCAAAACTTCTACGCATGTAGTACCGACAATAAGGAGCAATGAGTAAATTGACTTACTAGGTGAGAGCATGTTCAAAGAACTTAAAAACTCATCTCAAACCAAGCAACACAACAACTAAAAATCAAAAATAATATCACCTACCAAAGATCAATCAATCTATTTGTCTATACCTATTCGCTCTGGTTTGGTCGCTTAATCCGATACTATCCATCTTGCGCCTATATTGACTATCCACTTGTGGCATGTTGGCTTATATGAAACTCTCACCCCATATTCATCATATTCACTTATACCCACACTTGGCATGACTCAGTCTTAACACATCTAAACCTAGAGCACACCCGTTCTCGGTATCACATTTTTTCATATCTCATTATCACATTTGTCAATGTTACACAACCGGTTACCTTTTAACAGCCTATCACATTATTTCCTTTATTTTCACCACATCTACACAAATCAAAATCTAGATATACGTCATTCCATCATATCAACATAATTCAACAACATAATCTAGGTTAACTTTAACAAAGGACTAACAATCCGAAACATTACGAAAGAAAGAGAGAAAGTCCACAACTAGTCATCAATTTTACCTTACTCGATGAAATAGATCCGATCTAGAATGAGAAAAAGGAGGCAGCCACATAATCATATATCCACTCTCACACTCAACTGAACGTGGAAAATAAGATTTAGGATCAGATCTGCCAAACATAGTGGTAAATCGTTGAGAGGAAGAAGAGGAAGGAGATGAGAAGGAAACCAGAGGATAACTTATGATCGTAGATGAATATGAGATGAAGATGACAATCGAAGGTGGCGGGGGCCGATGAGACATAAGTGGTAGTCGTTGGAGGCCAGTTGACGGATGCTAGTGGTTCGGGGTTCGGAAGGGCTTTGCTACAAATTTCTCTTATGAGTAAATAGAGAACGGGATACCTCCTTCTAAAGGATAAAAACCTAGAGTTTATCTTATGGGCATTTGGACAAAAAATATTTCCACAAAGCTGGATCCGAGATATCATGACTCTCTCCCCCCCCCCCCCACCTTTCCTTAATTAGGAATTTATTCATGAATTCAACTCGCATTGTACGATTCATAGGGTGACTATTTTTCATTTGTGATTATGGTTTCCAAATAAATACTTGTGAATTTCATCTTTTTCCCTTGAACCATGATTATCCATGTTTTTCCCAAAAACTTCTGCTACCCTGCGGTCTACAAATTTAACATGTTTGCTGACTACTGACATATTATGACACACATATGCCTGCGGCTCATATAGAATCAACTCATGTCTTCTGACAACCTTTTGTAATGCTGAGACACAAAACCCATTGTAAAATTTGACATATGTTGTGACACTCCAACCGACATGCCCCTACATCAACCCTCCCAATAATCACAATGAACCACATACTTACATTCTTTAACTTAGAATCCATGTTACTTCCCATAAAATTCATTCATACAAGCTTATTACGAAGACATCCCTATGCTTGTGTGATACTATTGTCATCCCCTATGTATTTGGCACACAAATGCAAACTAACCAATGCCATTGTAGCTTCCTTATGCGTTTATGTATACTAAAATGGTATTCGAGACATAATTAATACTATATCACTGATGTTTGAGTCAGCCTTTTTTAGCTTCTCAAAGTTTTAGACATAAGTTTTGTACATTGTAACTTAACATCATTTCCCAACAAACGTGTTGTCCTAGTGGAAATCCCAACACGATCTCCCAATAATATCCTATAAAACCTAAGAAACCATGGACCTTAGTGATACTCATGATGCCGTTTAACATTTGTTCACATAGCCCATGAAAGTAATATTTCTTTGCAAAATTGACTTATGTAACTTAACGAACAACTTCTTCTCACACAACTTATTATAATTGTACCCAAGTAACTGTACCACTCCCATGTGAAATAGAATAATACATATTTGATAATCCTTATCTTAAACATATCCCAATACTATGAAAAATAATGTTCATTCACTTCATAAGAGAAGTTAGTGCACCAGACCCAAAAACGCATTACTAATGATCATTACAAGTTTGGAAAGTTATCTCCCAATTATATCCCTTGATATAAAATTTTTATGATAATCCCAAGTTAAATCTATGTTAGAGAACAAAAACTCAGTTTGGAGCTGTGTCCAACAACTAATCGATTAATGCACCGTAAACCATGCAAAGTCAAAAACTTGTGCCATTCTTCTTTACAACAAGATATGTGTTCTTAAAGTTGATCTACTTGTTCGGATGAATTCTTTCTCCACCAAGTCTTCTAGAGGTATTGTGCTTATGACACAGACGATGTCTCGGGTACCACCATATGGTAAAGGAGTCATCTAGGCTTGGTGGTGGTCCTTGTAGTTGCTCGAATACGTTTGCATACTACGGCAATGGTATCCAGTCTCAAAACGTCCACTTCTTTGAATGTATTATTCCCTTCCCACTTGAATCTTGTTTCAGAAACATTGAGATAGTAGAGCTCCATGACCAAATTGACAAAAAAACGTTGTGACCTAGTTCTTATTCCAAGTAAAAACTATCTTCCCATTCTATCATGAACCTAAGACATATGCCATGTCACAATCGATTAATGCCCAATGTTTGGTCAACAATTATTTATCTAAGCTTCTCTTAAATCGGCTGAACTCCAATTTCATCGGATTTCTCGGTAAACATGCTACTAGAATCAATCACAATGACACATCCTCTGAAGACTAACAGTCCTCTGAATCATCCACATCTATGAAATTTGACACATTTTTGAACACTGTTACATCTTTGAACTTTCTTTTGCTGATATGCTTTAGTTCCTCATCTAGCCGCCCAGCCTCTTGTTCAACAATATTTTTCACCAACTTATTGAAGTCCTGGTAGTTATGAACACTACCAAGATTCTTGACTATGTTCTTTTATAAAACCAATTAATCAGCTCACGCTATCTCAAGTACACATCAAGAAAACATGTGATTCCCGTGATATGCTCAAATTTACCCTTGTGTTACTCTGCAATTTCAGAGTGCAATGTAGCACTTAGGGATCAAATCCATGTAGACTCTATATTCACATAATAAAATTTGATTTCAGATTGTGTTAGGTCGACTAATAGATAGCAATAGAAATAGTAAAGTAACTCAATTGTACGACATATGGGAAAACTGCTAGATCCATGGAATTTAAAAAAATAATGAAGAATTGCAAACAACAAACTGTTCAGTCTTTTATTAAGATCAGTTCTTGAACTCAAATTCAAAACACAAGTCAATCAACTCTTGTTGAAGAGATTATCTATGTTTAGATGCTAGAACCCTAAAATCTCTTTGTGAATTCATAAAACTAAAACAAGCATAGGAACATGTCTAATAAGTTCACTAAACCCTTAACCAAACTCTTTTCGAATAAGTGTATAGCTTATGCAAGATTAAATTCAGATCATCAATAATACTCTCATATCTATTAATTATCCTAAGCTCTAGATTTCAGGTTGTTAATCTAAATCTAGCATTAAGTTTAATCTTGATGAAGATCTATAAGATTACCCTAACATAAATTCAACATAAATCTAAGTGATATACTCAGACATAATCCATGAAGCACATATTTTGGATAAATATCATAAATAAATCAAAACAAGAGTTCAAAATATCTCTGAAAGAGTTCACACTTGTCTCTCTAAAAT